GTCCAAAACTTCGTGAAAAGTGAGACTAATTCGTTGACATGTACATCCCAGCCATGCTTGAAAGGAGGCGGAGGAAAGCTATCAGGGCCAGGAGCTTTATGTCGTTTCAAAGATCAGATTGAGCTTCGGATCTCTACTTCGGTAGGAGGGTCAGCTTGGACAGCCAAGCACCATCCGAAGGAGATGGAGGTGTCACAAATTGTTGTTCTGGATAGTTAAAATGAAATGCAAATCGCTCTGCTTAGCGCTCTAATCGCTTCTGCAGGTTGGTGATTTTTGTGCCATCTAACAGATTGTCTGACTGCTGGTGTGTGCATTGCAACCGGTGACTTTGATGGGGCGAAACAAACTGCGGTAGTTTCAAACCGATGCAGCGGCCTGCCTTGTTACTAACTGCGACAGAAAGAAAACGATTTTAGAAGCAAGCATTGTTTAAAAGGTCGATAAAACGCACATTCGGAGACTGGAGACCGAATGTGAGGGCTTCACTTACTTCCCACCCGCACCACACCAACTGTGAATCTTGACTATTGATGTTCCCTATGCCTATGTTCTCATTTGCGCTTCTGAACGCCTCGCTTTTTCGGCCAACTATTACATGTCTAGGTAGGCATTCCTCACACATAGACTTAGTCAAGCAACCACCACACGCCCGGATAAGCACTTTACGGTCCTTTCATCCTTTCGGGAATCGTTAGCAGTGCGCATTCTATCCGACTCTTGTGGAAGCTAAAATACGCAACTCGACTGTTGCTATTTTATGCTTGAGGCTGCTGAGCCACTGGGGACGGTAACGACAGTTGTGACAGGTTACTATCCCGTCCTCTGCACGGCAGTAACGTGATAATCAGTGGATAGTGAGCGGCGCTATATCACATCGAATAACTTAATCACGACGGTCATTGCCGTCCAACCACGTGGCTCTATGGTCTCAACCACAAACAGGCAATAGTCGAGTTGCGTGTTTGAGGCCTACATGGGTCAGACGGAATGCGCACTGTTGACGATTCCCGAATGGGTGAAAAGGCCGTGCAGTGTTTATCCTGGCGTGTGGTGGCCCTCTTTTAGCGCGTCCATCATGCGCTACATATCAGATTCGCGGCTAAACGACCAACCGACAGCGCACCGGAGGACACACGAACCTAAGCTGGGAAAATTTTATTCGATGATCAATAAGGTGGCTAAAGCGAAAAATATGTCATAAGAGAACAGCTAGTTGGGGAGCATATGGACTTTTGTCGAGTGCGAAGACGAGCGCCTGCCAGCAGATCTCACCCGATTGGTCGCAAATGGAATGCCGGCGTGTTGCTTGTCTCGAACAAGCGGAAGTAACATTCAAACCAGCGAACCGCTTTATTCCCTTTGACAACAAAACTATAATTTCAAAATATTTTAGAATTTACACTACAAAACGCGGGAATCTCCGAGTCACTACACTCTGACTGAGTCTGTGTTTCATGTCTACTCTGTCATTTCTTGGTCTCTAAGCGCTTTCACCTAGCTTACTACTGTCAAACACACGCGGGTAGGCTATGTGAGTACTCATATTCCTTTGATATTGGTTTGGATTCAACAGCAGATTTACCTCATCACCAGATAATATTTTCCCAAGTTTCGGTCGTGGAACATTAACAATGCTTAATCGGCGGTTCCGTCAAGACTCCAGACAATGACAGTCAAAAGGGAAACCCTTTCAATTTCTTTAGGTTACATTGGTGACATACCCGATCCATACTGCTATCTTGGCAACGCCATAGTGTGGTTCACTGGGTGCTTCATCCACAAAGCGTTCTCAAGTTTTCTTCCCAGTGCAATCAATGACATCCTCAACGGCACACACATAAATGGACGAATCGTCGATCCTCTTCACTTGATTACTCGATGTGTGGGAGAACTGCTGCCGTATCGGCCCATAGAGCTGGCGCTGCTCAAACGCTTAGCGAAACGTAATGTTATTTCAATGAGTTGCTAGCTCCGCAACTGCCCTTTGTGTTAGCAACTTGAGAAGTGGATATACATTGGTCGCGGGTTCGACGCCTGCTATCTCCACCTGCTGAGATGAAATGACATCGAAATGCGTCGTGGTTGTGCAGTGTTTTTGGGCAGGCAACACCCAATTTCCATCTGCTTTGACTATGGTCCCAGTGATCGCAGTGACTAAGATTCGCTTTATTGTGAACCGCGGTCCACTTTGAGATTGCGCGTCGCAATCCAATGACACAACGTGTAGTCCAAAATTGAGCCTCCAATTAGTCATTTACCGTTGTGCCAAAAGTTGCCCGCTGTGACCCGGTAGCCAAAGGGGTAGAAGTTTCGGCTACTATTCCAATGGTCGCGGGTTTGAGGCCTGCTATCTCCACCTGATGAGATGAAATGACATCGAAACGCGCCGTGGTCGTGCAGTGTTTTTGGGCGGGCAGCACCCAGTTTCCGTCTGCTGATATACATTTTTGTGTAGATTCTTAGTTACCTGCTCGTCTTTCGCTACTGTTGGTTTCTTGACATTTGTTTAAACGCATCAAGTCTTTGATTTCATTGTCCGGCCCACGTCGTTCGAAATGGATGTCATCTCAGAGGTCTCTTTCCGCTAATGTCATTTCCTCGAACTCGCCTGATTGCTTTTTACTTCTACCACTTCTTATTCGCCTGTGTTATTCAATGCCTCCTGCGTTGATGGTTGGCTCCAGCGTGTTTTAGTGGCCTGGCTTCAACTACTGCTGTATCCTATTTAAATGAACAGCTTACTCGTGTGAAAAACTCGGTCCTGGCTCATCTTCGTGTTCTTCTTCCGATCGTGGGGCCGTGAACAGTCGGCTGGCGACGGGCGGTGTTGAACAATCATGGCCATTTCATTCGAGCAGGTGCGGTTCCTCCTTCAGCAACAGCAGCTTTAGATTGAAAAAGCGCAGCGGCAGTTAATTCAGTTGCTATTAGAAAAGCTGGACATGCAAGTGGATTGGGAACCGGAACCCAGGTTGAAATCGCAGGAAATTGTATTTGAATGCCACAAGCTGCTCACTTCGGATCATGACCCAGAAATGATTGAAGCTTCAGAGCCAAGAAAAGAACCCCAGTCCTGTCCTTCAGCCATTTGTGGCCAAAATGTGAATCGAGATGTGCCAGACCGGAAGCCCCCGACTGCGACTTGGAACAGTGGTGAGAAACATTCTGCGAGAGTTCGGGTCTAAAAATATCCTCATTGTCAAGAAGCAAGCAACTTAAGGTGCGTGCGTACTCCAAGGGTGCAACCATGCTACAAAACTGCAAAGGATCGGTTTTCACAATGCATCGAGCTTTTCATGGAAGAGAAGACACTTGACATTGAAACCCGATTATGTTCTGGTGTTACTACAGCCTCAAACAGTTTCTGCTATCACCATCGTTTCTCGATCGACAAGAACGAAATTTGACTAGTCGTCGATCCAATCAGCAAAACTCCTGACCCGAAATACACATGGGGTACTGTTACAGCCAGACATAGCAATCGCCTGTGAACGAAAACTCAAGGAAGTGCAACTCCTGGAAACCATTTACCTAGCCAGAGGTACGGACGTTCCTCTGTTCGGAGTGGCGGGAATTCAGAAGCTTTATTTGCCCAGTGAGTCACCGAATCATGTCGTGTCTTGCACTACTGGGAATACATGTCCCGAATACTCCTGTACCGACAACGATATCGTACATTTGGTCTGATCCCGAACCACCCTGGTCTTGCATGCATGTGGACCCAGGTGGATCCTGCCGTCCGAAGAGCTACACCCTCCCCAGGTAAACTCATTTATTTAAGAAGATGGAAGTCCTAGTTGAGAAGTGGACATATATTTTTGTCCAATTCTTAGTTTCCTGCTCGTGTTTCGCTGCCGTTGGTTTCTTGACATTTGTTTAAACGCACCAAGTCCTTGATTTGATTGGCCGGCTCACGTCGTTTGAAATGGATGTCATCTCAGTGGTCTCTTTCCGCTAATCCCATTTCCTTAAACTCGCCTGATTGGTTTTTACTTATTATTCGCCATTATTATTCCCTGCCTCTTGCTTTGGTGTTTGGCTGCAACGATTTTTAATAGCCCGTGCTTCAACTACTGCGGTATCTTATTTAAATGGGCAGCTTACGCATGTGAAATAGTTTGGTCGTGGCTCTTCGTGGTGTTCCTCCTGCGATCGTGGGGGCGTGAACAGTCGGCTGTCGTTTTATCACTTTGACTTCTGATTTTGGGAGTGACTCTACTGCGAGCACTATGCCACATGTTGTTTGTGGCGCCGAGCCTTTGTCGCGTAGGGAAAAGCTCCCCGTACTTTTTCCCTACTCATTGGAGCCCACTGTTCGTATCGGAAGAATCTGGATGTTCCACTGATGATTTCATCCAAATGAGTAAGGACATGAATATAAACAAGCCTCTGGGCTCAGAGGACGTCTCAATCTCCTCACCTTCATCCTGTTCCGTTATTGTTATTCTCAAATATGTGCACTATTACTCCACCTCTGATCTCATTAATACCAAGTGTACGATAACTACAATCCATGTGTTCAGTGTCTGAGATTACTGACATTCCTCTAATGCATGTGACGTGCTTTCCTACTTGTTCTCCATTGCTTTCAGCTAGATGATCCTTAAAGCAAATCAGCCATCCACACCCTTAGCGCGTATAATTCACATGCCTTGTGGCCACATTACTTTCTAAATGTTTTATTGTTTTTCATAATTCCCCATATGTTTGCTTGTCCCTTGTAATCTAACAGGATCAGTATTTTATAACTTAGTCAACAGGCGCTTTTTAAGCTGTCCGGTGACCGCGCACTTTTGTACGCATTCACTCTTGTAATCGTTTGGTAATTCCGTCTTATTGTGAAATCTTTGGGCGACCTTAAGTTTACTACACTGTGTTTTTTGACATTTTGCCCATAAATTCTTCCCATCCACCCCTCTTGTCATGCCTATCTTGACTCGCTCCTTTAAGTGTCACATCCTTCCACCCATCCGTGTTTTTCGATTGACTCTTTCCAGTCGAGTGCCTGGCTACCTTTACGCGGCCTCATTTCACAGTGGATCGACCTGTGCAACTTGCAGTATTCCTCAGGTGCGTTCCTTCTTTCTTCAATCGCTACTGTTTCTCGACGCTTTTCGTTTCGTACCGGTTCCAACCCCAATCCATTTGAGTGTCCATTAGTGGCTCTCCCTCTTAATATTACTTTTCGGGTGATGCATACCTCTTACACTCGGTTCAGCTTTAATTCCTTCCCCCTCAGTTTATCTTGTTGGCGGGACTATTCCTTTCTTTTAGATTAAAATTTGCTTACCGATAAGCTAATTGGATTCCATTTTTACGATCACTTCAAACGTCCTACTTCTCAGCCAGTTTGCATTTACCCCATTTGTATACTTTGGTTGGCGGCATCCGGTTCCAATTTCCAACAGCCACCGGATGTCTGTGCCTACAGGAGAGTATTGGTGACTTGCGCTGCACCACCGACATCTCCATCCACACGACCCATATTCAGTGCTGACCCGACTGACGGAGACTACGAGACATGTAAAGGGGAACCACGGTTGATTCAAAGCCGCATACACATTTGATATGCGCATCATTCATCCATTTGGTGAACAGAGGAAAACGCATGCAAGTTGCACAGGGCGGTTGTTGGGCCGTAGCACGTTCCACACCGGATAGAACCACTCAGTAAGGGTAGCGCCGTCATAATGACTGTGCATCCGGTGTTCCCCATCCACGATTAACTGTTTCCTGGAGCCAGTAATCAAGGTGGCGGTTTTCGACAGGTAGACGCCTTGCTAACATTTATATTAGACGCAGTCTAACCAAGGACTTTAATAAAAAATCACCTAAAGCGCGATGAAATAAGTACACAGGCACGCGTACAAACCAACTGCGACGATGATGTAATACACATGCCACATGTACTGCATTAGTGGCATAAGTTAGCAAATGGAATCGGAAGCAGCGTGCTTAATCAGGCGCTGCTCCGCCGCTATTAAGTTTACTCGTCGCGTTTTCACTATGGGCCCCTCGTTGTTGGCTCACGAGACCTGCTTGGGTGAAGCACACACCACCATGTTCTACAGCACTATGTTCTTTAATTTAATGGGCTATAGTCCATGGGCGCCTTTCATTTTCGTAAGCTACGTCACCTCTTACTGGTACAACATCCCCTTCTCTGGCGCCTTGGCGGCTGCATTCTTGCTGGGCTCACGCCATTTGCCACGATCCACTATTATTGCTATCCAACACCTTAAGTCAACATCAGTCGTGATTAACTCACATTGATCATGTCCTGGCAATGTAGCTTCGGTTTGCCTACGCATCCCTTCCCTTCACTAAGTTGACTGTAGCAGCTGTTCTGGTATTCTCCTCGAATGTATGCGGCGTACATACCCGATCCACCTCAGGTGCTTCAAGAGAAGTGCTCAGTCCACTGCATACATGCAAATTCGGCGCAGCAATTCCATATCAGCAACTCGGTCACCCCAGCCGATTCTAAGAATCCGACGCAGGCACTGTTGATGAAACTGCTCCAATTAGCGGAGTCCTTCCAGTACAGACTGCAGTTTCACTGCCGTAAAGAAGTATGGACAGCACCATCGATCGGCACACCGTCAGCTTGGTCTCAACGGTCAGCTGGATATTGTTCCAAACCCGTTTTTCTGGCTTTCCAAAGGCAGCAGCCGCTTTCGATACGCGGATGCCCAGCTCGCTGGTCATCTACAAGTCAGTTCCCAGTTTACTCTCCGGTTAGCACAATTTTGATGAGCAATCTTGATTTGTGGTCAGCCCACGGAATCCATGTCAAGTGAAGGCTTAAAAGGATACACATTCTTGTTTGTTTTGATGGTGAGTCTGAATTTGGTCGTCATCGAAGCGAGTGCCGTCATCATGTGTTGTAACTGCCCATCGCCGTTTGCGAACAACGCGTACTCATCTGCGCCCAACCTTAGGATGGATGTCTCACGTTCTGGCGCGTTCTGGCGCCGAAGCGATGAATATTTAGCAAACCTCCGTCCCTACGGTGTTCTAAAGGAGCACCGTATTCACAAGGATTGAAAGCATCATACCGTTTCGCAGTCAATTGCATGCATGGCGGAATTAAATTCCTTCGTAAGGAAATCATGTTCCTCCATAGATCTCTCAAAATGGATCTTATCACTTTCAGATTGCGTCCAACTGACTCGAACGGCCCTAAATGTACACTGTTCGAGTGACCAATCCTAAATCAACCAACAGCATATCAGGCGCGTACACTACGGGGGTTTCCATTGTCTGGTTTGAGATTGGTTGCTTAACGAATAGTACGCAATTAGGGTTCCGTTGCAGAGCTGTACGCTATCGGGCGCGTTCCCAGGTTGCGGATTGGAGAATGCCTTCCTTCTGGAGGTAACTGCCGATAAGTCTTGTCTGCTTTGCACGCGAGATGAATAAGCAGTCGCGGACAATCAGCGTCTCAGCGTGGGGGGTTCTGGGCTGGTTCTCCACCAAATACCACCAGAGCTCATACGGCGCTGTGTCAAAGCCAATGCGACCGGCTATAGGATCACTGATCACTCACTTCTGTAACCATAAGTGAGTAACTAACGGATGGCGGACGAACAACTTCGTTGGCCATCGGCTTCTCCGGGGACTGCTACTGAACAGGAAGAAGACGAACGAGCTACCCGGATGTCAATGGTTTTCGTTAATCGCTCCGCTGCCTTGTTGCTCAGGTCTTTATGACTAAAGGCTCGGGGTGTGGTCCCTTAAATCAACCCTCTTCCTCGGTCTGGGCCGCTGGGAAGATCTCTTCTCACACAACGCATTAACCTTCTAAACTCTTCCACTGACCACCTCTTTTCTCTCTTTTTGTTGTTGTTAACTATGTGTTGTGGCACTGCCAATTGTTATTAGTCAAGTGTTTAATAATAATATACGCACTTAGGGTTGTTTGCGCCCATTCGATGCAATTTGATACCTTTAATAACCATTTTGAGAGACTTATGGCGGAACATCATTTCCTTAAGGAGGAATTCGAAAGTTCGATGAATACAGTTGACTGAGAAAAGGTATCGATAGCACGGCAATTAGATGTTATGCAGGGTAGGAGCCAGTACATAGCGCTGCTTCAAGCGGGATACAACTTCAAAGTCATCTGTGGTTTATCCGCATAGCTGCGCCATCGTCCTCCCACCACTGTGCAGGCATTCAAGCATACGAGCATATTTTGTGGACACCTGTATTATCGAACAGCAAACACCGCCTCGCGGTTCATTATGAAAGGTTTTGATAAGTCGTAATACAGCGGGTACAAGGGTTGGTTTTGTCACCTCTCCCGCCGTTTTCGAGCCGCGAACACCTTGTCAATTGTACTGCGATCTGAATGAAGACCGCACTACTCATCAGCCCGGTTTAGTTCAGGGACGTGAGTGACGAGTCGATCAAGCAGTTTCCGAGCAATCAAATTCCTGACTTGACCCAGCTAGTTGATGCCAGGACAATTTTTGGCACATCGCTTGTTTACTTTGTTTTGTACAATGGCAACACAAAGCATCCTTCAGTTCATTAGTGTCCCAGCAACTAATGCGTCGCATTTGACATTACGGATCCGCAAATCCTCAGTACTCCTTGCGCCACTCCGTCAATACAAACATATTTACCGCCTCAGCAACAGCACTATGCGTGTCATGCGTCCTTGGGGTATCCGAAAGACCGATCTACATATTTTTTGTTGCGTGCTGTGCAACGTGTCCTAGCCAATATGAACGGTTCTTCAGATCGTAATGTGCCTGCGCCGCATCTACATGCCGTCTGTTGACTGTTTGCAGGTAATGGCCGAAACAGACCCTTTCATACGCTACAGGGTCCATACATTGTCTTCGGTCATACAGCCCCTTACGTTGGAGACGTTTGGATTGGTATTCCATCTGCTCAGCATTCTCCGCCCACTACGCACTTTTGCCTCGACGATGATACCGAGGCAAGCGCAGACGCATCTTGGGATACTTATTTTTCTTCTACAGGGATCCTCCACATGTGCATTGAAAGCTGCATTTTTCGCAGACACTAACGCGCCATTGGTCGCACAGTTATCATCAAACCAACCGGGCCACTCACAATTTGATCTTTCACTTGTTTCGTCAGCCTCATCGGTCATCTGTTCCTTCAGGTGGTGCCGCGGCTCACTGATTGTATCCTTGGGGTCAACGTCACCCAGCCGAGTGGCCACCGCATTCTCGAATTTATGCCTCTTCTTAGCATTACCTCACTAACGAACATTGAATCTCTTCCAGTCCACTGCAAAGGAACAGAGTACTTTGCCACATCATTTATTTGCACTTTGGACAACATGCATCCCAGATGTAAACAGAGTGGTTGCTGGGCCATGGCCAGCTACACACTGGGTGGAGCCATTCTAAAAGCTCAGCACTCACGGCCACCTGTAAAATTTGGTCCGCGCCGACGATCTCAGTTCCACACGCAACTCCTTGCAATACACGTGTCATGCGCACTTCACGCATCTCCGGCCGGTGTACGACGACACAATCGATCAGATGGTCATGACCACTTCGTGGGTACGTCCAAGTAACAGTATCACTCGCACCCAGTGGGAGCTTAGTGTTTGTGATCGACAGGCCTTAAGTGGCACAGTGAGAGCAGCCGGTCATCGTTCCCATTGGCTGTGCCAATACCATACGCCGTGATTACGTCTGTCCGCACCGCGGCATCACGCCAAGCACGCGCGTTGACACCATTCGGTTGCAATAGCCAGTAGCTCCCGGGCACAGACCGTATCACGGAGGACAACTGAGTGTAAAGCTGATCCCTCGTCCATCAATATAACCCATATTGGGACCATGTGTGCCGCAAACTTACGACATCCAAGGTGTGGGCGATGAGTCATCAGTCGTGGGCTGATGCCAGTCGGTTCTGCCTTCAGCTGGTCACTTTTGCGATCGGACAGTGCAAATTCAACCCCATGTTCACGTGGTTCTGTGGTGGCGTTTCTCACCCGTAGAACGTGTAACCATCACCATCTTCATGCAGCTTGCCTTGGTCGGCGAGCCGAGTATCACTGAGTGCAGCAATACCGATCTCGTAGCGCGCATATTCCATCGCGACCAGTGCACTGCGTGGCTCGGGTCCCTCACTTATCTTCTGATGAAGTACTGTGCACACGTTCCGGCACCCGACGTTGAGAGCTTTGCGCGAGAGTATACGATTGTGCCAGCCAATCGATCGTGTAGTGACCTGTATTGAAGGAAGTTGGGAGTTAGTTGAAATGATGACTGGGCAATTATGTGCAGATGAAGAATAAATAAGGTATGCGTCAGCGGTAGCATGGTTTTGCTTATCCACTCCCCTGTATACAGCAGCTAAGGCAATCCTTTTCTCTCTCCACCACTGCGCGACGTCTGATGCAGCATGGAATCATTAGTATTGCCGTAATTCATCGTTGTTGAACTGGTATACTGTCAAGGCGTCCACACATGAACAGGAAAACAACTAGGGTCCTCAGTCGAAGCGTTTAATAAAATGTACTGACAGAAGCTGGAAATGCGCCATGTGTCAATTGACCCACGCGGAGTTGTCTTAGTTCATAGCTAGAAGAGAAGTGCGCCAGCGCTGACGAAATTCTGCCTGAAGTATTAAAACACGGCGGACCCGCGTTGCTATATGAGCTACATCAGCTGATGCAACGCATGTGGTTTGAAAAGGAAGTCCCAGCTAACCTGAAAGATGCCTTTCTGCTACCACTATCTAAAGCCAAAGAAGGCAAGCAATGTTGCACGAATTATCGTAGTATCAACTCGCTGAGTTGTGTGAGTAAGATGATCGCGCGAATCCTGCTTAACCGCCTCGTCACTCAGGTCGTTGAACCGCACGTGGCAGAAGAGCAGTGTGGATTCCGTTCGGGCCACAGCACCATAGGTATGGTATTCGCGGTTCGTCATTTGCAAGAGAAATGCAGAGAGCGACACCAGTCATTATATTCGATGTTTGTCGACTTCACCAAGACATTTTATTCGGTGAACCGCGTAGCACTGTTGCTGATGTTGGATATATTTGGCTTTCCGTGTAAGTTTGTGCGTTTACTTACATCTCTGCACGGTGATATGCGGGTGAGGATGCAGCTGAGTGGACAAATCTGGGATGACTTTGATATTGTCTGGTGTGAAACAAAGCTGTGTCTTAGCGCCTGTTATGTTTAATATTTACTTGATACGATGTCTTGTGCTCTTGGTGCTGCTTGTAGTTACGGTGTCCGTGTGGAGCACCGGATTGATGATGGGTTGTTGAACCTCCGTCGTCCCCAGACGAGAACCTTAGTGGGTGAGACAGCCATCCGTATGTTGCTGTTTGTCTACGACTGCATGTTGTTTGCACTTAATGCAGATGAGTCACAGCATATTACTTCGGCTTTGTTTATGGCACAGGAAGAGGAGGTGAACCGCTCAGCACCGTTATTTCACGAACCATTGTCCGGCGGCTCAGCCACTTTTGACGCATGCCAGCCCACCGACTCCGGCGACGTGCATTGTTTGCACAACCGGAATGTACATGGAAGAAGAGTAGGGGAGTCCAAGCGATGACTTGGTGAGGTGGAATGAAGACCCTTAATTCGAAGTTGACCTAGGTTGCACCCGATAGACGATGAACACGTTTGCTTGGATACAGTTGTTGACATGGCCTTCCAACCAGGATTTTGCTGCGCTGTGGCCGACTGCTAGCTCTCTGGAACGATGTCTATCTGTTACTGGTGGCTCAGTTGGCGTGCCTCTGTTGCGTGTCCTTTTTTCTTATGTATTGCGGCACAATAGCTGTGGCGTTACCCACCTTTAGCCGTGTATAATGAATGCATGCTCTTTGTACAATGTTTTTGTAACGCGGAAACATTGTCCTTTAGTGCAATGATGGATTGCACACAGAGCCGGAATGTGAATCCATTTCAAACTGTAACGCAAAGCACCGGGGCCGGCAATCGCTTCTTCTTGCGCCAACTTTTCTTTGAGCGTTAGTTGTACCGTTGGATAATTCCGTCTACAAAGTGATGTGTCTATCATCTTTAGCGTTTGCTTGCTTTTGTCTCTTTGGGCGTCATCCGAATCTCTTCTTCCAGCTGATGACTTCTTGGATTTGTTGTAAGGATACAACTTCTGGCGAGTTCGCATGTATCCGCTGCTATTTTTCACAACCCACATGTTTTTGGATGTTAGGCGACAACTCTGTGCTGACAGCAATGAAGTTGGACGTCCTTCCTTTGAATACACAGGTGCTCCATTCAGCAGGCCTGGCTAGTGCGATGATAAGTGATCCCCATGGCACAAAACATCTGATGAATTTTAGAGAAACGGACCTCAGTGGAGAAAATATGCATGCTTAAACTACACTTCACCGGCTTATCTCTTATGGTGTTAAGGTGTTTTTTAAATGGGAAATTATTGTTTACTCTCTCTCTCTCTCTATCGCCTACCTATTTTGTTTATTTACATTGCTCTTAATGAAATGCACAGTTCTAAGTCCATCCTCTAGCTTGTTGCCAGTACAATGGTATGCACTGTACTCGCTATGCGGCCCCCAACCGAGCTGTTTCTCACTGCCATCATGTTCACACCCCGATCTATGTAAAAGCTTGATCCATGTGGTCCGTGAATGTGACTGGCCAGTCCAACTATCATCTTCACCCTAACAACGCATTCTTCACCGCTATCTGATGTGAAGCCTCAATTCTTATATCTACTGTCCGCATTTTGTGTGCAGATCTCACGCCCGATTGCCTTTCCAAGTCCGACGTGTTACCGTTGACCTCACTCACAAGGTGAGAACGTTCTGGATTTCCCTTTTTTGCTCCGTCAGTGTGCACATTTAGTTTACGAAATGTGTTCAACCGCATGATATCTTTGTTTCGCTTTGGGTGTCTTATCCGACGATTCTGTTGCCATCATGCGATTTTTGGCGCTTTTTCAGTTTCGTCAATATCTTCAATCACGTTAAACCGTTTTCATAACCAATGAGCGAGATACTTTCGCGCACACATTTGGGGCCAGCTTAGCTTTCACGTTGACTCGAACGCGCTCGACCATTCCCTCATGGTGAGTTGGGGAAAGTCCATAGGAGTTAAATCATCACCATTTATGTGGGTGCACAAAGCACATTCTTGATCTTAATCGTCCTGATATCCTATCTACTGTTTGGAATGTTCACCCAACCCTTTCTTATATCTTGTATGTTCTGATCTACACAACCGTTTCATCTCATACAGTTATTTCTACTGGAACGCAGTTTAGCGAGGCGGGGCCTTTAAATCGGCCGTTACGTTTTAATTGGAACATCATTTTCACCTTGTCTACTGCGGATTCAATAGTTTCCTCCAAATATTGTTGAAATTTTCTTCGCTTACACCATTTTACGGTCACTGGTGCTGTATTGCTTTGCTTTTTTTGAAAAAAGTTGTGAGATACTGAGCATACCAGGAGAAAACTTTTCAAAATGCGCTTTCGTAACTTGAAGAATCCTCGTCCCGGTTGACAAACTTGGCTCCGACACTGTACCTTCAGCAGGAAGCAAATACCAATGATGTATTTCATCGAGGGAAATTATTACCTGCATGTACAGGACCGTTTATTCCGATGTCACTTATGCATTCATGCCCTTTTTCCACCTACACAATCTGCATTTTTAACGTTGCTATCACAGTTTATCCGCTGAAAGTGGACTCGGGTACATAAAGGGGTTATCCGGCTTCGGCTGCTTTTTCTACAGGTCATTAGGAAAGACAGACAACTGACGGCGTTTTTTTACGCTTGTCGGCTCATCTAACGGTGTCATACATCATATACCGCCTACTAGTTAAAACAAGATTTCCTTTAGGAATTGGAGGCAAAATATTAGTAGACTCCACAATAGCAACACACTGCGCCTACGCGGAGCTCGTTGCCACATCAGCTGATCGCTTCACAACTATCTATTAGGCCCCCACTAGCCGATCGGATTACATTCGTTGGCGTCTGTTAGAAGCTACCGAGGTAAGTGCAATCCAGCTGTATGAACCGGAGCTGTATGTTCAACAGAGGTTCAATCTAATGTCGGACTACAATGGTCTTGATGGCCGGGGAACTTCGACTCGCGACGTTATATGCATACAATGTTTGTAACGGTATCATTTAGCGCATAATTAACACTCGATTAGTAATGGCTGTTGGCCTCTGTTCGCAAATGACTATTTAGGCATAACCATCTAAGCCTCAAGTGTCCCATCGAAACGTCTGTTCGCCTAATGTTGTTGTTTGCGCCCAACACTGCACTCCACGACCAGTGTCATCCTCGTTTGAACTGATTCGGTAAAGATAGCCGCATATGATATTGGAACTAGTGACCACTAGACAAGTGGGACCTGTGAGGTTTCCCTGAGTGTTATTAATCTTGCTATGAGATCTGCTAAGCAAAGCTGTTCTCTTTGTGTACGGTAGTGTCTTCTCCGATGACCTGAGTGACCAACTTGATTACAAAACTCAGTGTCAATCCAGACTTTTATTCCACCACTTGCGTGTATGGTGGTTTATCGTGTGAGTCGTGTCAACATGCAATCGCACCCGCGTCTCAGTTTGTTCTTCATTGTTTGCATTAGTCAGATTCAGTCACTCATCATTTTGCGCTTTCCGTTCGGATTATGAATAGAGCGCTCAGTTCATTTTTACTCATCTCCATCAGCTCCTTTGACTGAGTTGTATTGCTGCTCTTTTTCCTCAAGAAAGTCATCTCACGGACCTTATACTATCACTTTATGCCATAGCCGACAGGTGTTAACACCCACTTAAACGATAAATGCTCATATTTGGCTTGTAACCCCTACATGCTTCTTCATGACTCTGGGCGCCACTGTGAGCCCGTGTACAGCCGCTTTCTGTGGTATAGTGGTGGCGGTGCACTGACACCACTATACTGTTGCTATATATTTTTGCAAAATTCTGACAATGCCTCCTAGTGTTTCTCACTGCAATTGTTCTTACCTCATGAGCTTACCATTATTTTAACATACGCTGTTGTTCAAGTCACTGAACTGACTGCCTTGTCCGTATCAGACATGACCAAGCTTTCATTTCAGATGCACCATAGCTAAGTTTTTGATTGCTTTTTAGTGCAAATCTTTCCCTAAGAAGCAGCACGCGAGCGAGCAGCACAGTTCGGTTTATCAGACATCTCAGGAATGGTCTTCTCCGTTCGTCCTTTCGCCTGCCGAGGGCGTCATTGTTATTCTTTTTTGTCTGGATCCATCTACTCTCGGTCAGCATGTCAAAGTGAGTTACATACTGGCTGCTATACTGACCGTCGAATCCTGTCATATATACTTCATATTGACACTCGTCATTTTTGTCTAATCCCGTTCTGGTGTCCGTTCTCATGCTGATGGCTGCATTCCATTAGCGCGTCTGTTATCGCAAGATGCTTGTTCATCAATCCTACCGGCGTCCCTTACCTTAGCCTCACATTTTTTTCTTGTTTTGCTCATGGTGTCTTTTCAGTTACTCCATCGTTCGACTATTTATTGCTTTTCACGCTAGATACATTGAATCCTCGTATTTGGTGTGGCCACTGGGAATTGTGATTTCATCGTTTTCACTGCACTTGCAGGTGGACTCTGTACAAGTTGAGCTGACATCCACACATGCTTGTGAACATCGCACCTCAGCGACATTAGTATGGCGGTGGCCTACTTCTGGAGAAGCACGCACTGTGCCATTTAGTCACACTGGTGGTTCTGCGCTATCCTCATCCGAAGCACATTCCTCAACCACTGTGCGCGATCTATCGATTCACTTTCACTTTCCTTCTGATTTGGGACTTGAGTGCCAACATGAACCTACGTCGGTCGCCTTATCAGATAACTACATGAGTTTGACCTTTCCTGAGCTTCCAGCAGCCTGGGACCTAGTTCGAACGCGACATCAGACAGAGTAAGTCCCCACCACGCCTGTTTGTTTCTTTCATCTCTCAACTTCTTCGCCCCATTGTTCACGCCCATTTTTACTTTCGTTTCTGCGGTTTGTAGAATTCGTGATCTCAGTTCCGGACTAGAAATGGCTCTGATCCACACCCCACCTGCGTTGAGCCGGGAAATTTACACCATCGGAATCAATGTGACTAATAAGGCTTCTGTTGTAGCAGGACAAATCAGGTGGGACATTACTCGCCTTGTCTTTTTCAATGTTTACTATGATGGCCCACGACTGATTGTACTTAGATCTTGTAAAATTTTAACCTTATTGACTCTACTGTCTCCTAAATGTATCTTTATTGTGCCGTCAGCCTCATCCTAACGGATAAACCCGATTAGCTCCATTAATGCATAACATGCAGATAGGAATTACAGTCGGTTTCGTTAGAAAAGGTCACTATTATTTGGTTGGCTTTGTGGTTTGACTCTTTAATCCGTGGTCTTTGGTTGAGAACTCTGGTTGGCCTGAACTTTGTGCTAGTATGTTCTGGCGGTGTAGTCAGTGCCCTGTGAGTTTCATTTGTGCCGCTCATTTTGGATTATTAGATAGTCGCTTGGTTTTGCCTTGTGCGCGATAGCCCGATTTAATTCCCCCTTCGCTAGGCCCGCTTTTTGAGCATACAGTGTCATAGGATCAATGTGCTTTCCGGTATGTTGATTTCGGGTTGACGTGTCCACCACCTTACAGTTTCGACGCACTTGAACTCCGCTTGCACCCTGTTCGCTTCTTCCCTAGACACGATGCTCTGATCATGTACAAATAGCTGGACGATATTGCCTTAAGTAAATGGATATTAGGTAGAACTTCGTCACATCTAGATATTATTATTATTATCTAGATATTAGTTGGACTTTTTATTTTTTGACAATCCGAGTAACTGTTCTTACGTAGGAACTGATTATCAAATAATCAGGTGTTGTTTTGAGTACCGAGCATGCGTCGACAAATCAAATAGCATACCTTTGGTGTTGGAATTTCGCTATTGATACAAATATTTTTCTTTCGAGTTTTCCTCGCATATCATCTAAGGTGAGGCTATAATAAGTACACTTAAATTGGAGGAATTGACATACATTAGGTTGTTGTAAATGGCTGTACGAAGAAGGAATTCTATCGTGGGTTCGATGCTGTTATTCTTTGGGGATTGTTTTGAAGGTGGGAAGAGTTTCCACATTGCTGTCAAGGACGTTCACGGGGTTTGGCTACTTTCCACTTGTTTATTGCCGTCCTTTCCCCGTTGTTTCTGTTCCACATGGGATATCTTGGGATCTCATTTGGCCTGGATGTATGAGTGCGGACAGGGTTCGAATTTATACTCTGCGGCGTAACGCTTTCTGTACCTGGTCGTTATCCTTTGTGTTGTTTTACTTCTTCTATTTACCTTTTCAGTATGCGCAAACAGCCTGTACTGCCCATTGCGTTGTACCATCTCCTTGGGGATGTGCGTTGGAATTGTAGCTACTTAAAACTGTAGCATGATCTACTCCTATACGTGCTGAAGATGTCACACCGTTTGTATTTGACCATGGACTTTTTATAAGCACTGATGTGACTCGAGGTGAGTAATGCGGGAGTTCACCGATCCATATCCGACAGTATAACCTCCGGCACCAGCACACCTGGTCGTCTGTTAAAAACGATGCTCCTGCACTTCTCCGATCGCCTAACAGCGCTTGGCTCGCCGTATGCTTGAATGTCTTCAATCCGGGCGATTACGCGACACCTTAGAATGGCCAGTCAATTATGTGGCAATGAAGTATAGGCAAACTGAACTTAAATGCATATCACTCTTGGGTAACTGGATTTTAGTTGTAATTTTTAAGATATTCATCCCAGTAGTTCACAAGCTACATAGCACAGCCTAGTCCGGAAAAGCACCAGACGCGTTTCGCCTTATTGGGGCTCGTCAGTGGTGCGCGTTCCCTCGGTCCCCTACTGGGGATTGAACCCATGACCGCTAGAGGCATATGCCAACTAGCCAACAGCTTGGCCACTAAGCCATGGGGGACGTTGGCTGGGCTACATAATTTACAAACTAATTGGGTTGTAGCACCACCTATCTTCCACTGTCACTGACGGTTGTTAGCCTTTGAGGTGATGACGTCCTCTCACTAGATGTTGTATCCATAGCATTTTGAAACTAGGAGGAGCTATTTATCTTATATTACTTGTAAGTGACACCAGCAGCACTTTCTCATTGCGCCTATCCGGTGACGATTTAGCTTCGAGCACCAGCCAAGCCGGTGTTGGTATTGCCCTGCGTCCCCGGGCTGAAGCTACTCTGGTTGATTGGATTCTAATCAGTAGTCGGTTGTGTGCGGTCTGGTTGACTGGCTCATTCCAAGCTTTGAAATCGCGTGGGACTAATAGGTGTCTATTCGTCATCACTGCCTATGCACCGACAAACTGTAGCGATGACTCGGTAAAAGACGATTTCTATCGTCAACTGAACAAACTCCTTCGCCACAGAAGTAGCTCGGACACTGTTGTGCTGGCTGGGGATCTGGATGCTCAAGTTGGCAAAGTATCCACTGATGAACTACAACTGGGCGGCGAACATGGTGTAGGCTCCCGTAATGATAACGGTGAGCGGTTACTTCATTTGTATAATGATGCTCGCTTATTTCTTGCGAGCACTAATTTCAGACACAGCACCCGCCGGAGAGTGACTTGGCTCCTACCAGCCTCGAACCAGCTATGGACACAAATCGATCACATTGCGATAAGTTACCGATGGAGAGGCTGCGTCCAGAACTGTCGCTCGAGTTGGAACGCATGTGTGGACACCGACCATGCACTTGTATGTGCTGACCTGCGGATGCGCTTTGGCGGACACCCAAGACGATGTTGTGAGCACATTGACACCAGTTAACTGGCGAAACCAGCTGTTCTGAATTCCTATCAAATTACGCTGTCATGCGAGTTGAGTAAGCGCTCACTTTATGCAGTTGAAGCTCACTGGTCTCATATTCACCAGTCCTTACTACCAGCAGGCAAATCCATATGTCTAATAGCCAACATGGACATTGGATCTCTTCGCAGTCTCTGAAACTTATCGATGCTCGCCGGCATATCCCGGCTGGAAGCGAACACAATGAAACTCGCAAAGTGCTCTGGGCAAAACTCCGTGCTAGCCTGAAGAGAGATCGCGAATCCTGGTGATATTATCGTGCTACCGAGATGGAAATGGCCGCTGCCCTTGGTAACCATCGTAAGTTATTCCGGCTGATACGGGAATCCGGCAGCAGAAGACCTGGTGTTAGTGAAACTATACGTAACGAGAATGGACAGCTTATCCACAACTTGTCAAAACGCTTGGAGCGTTGGGCTGAGCACTTTGAAAGGCAATTTAATCGGTCGGAATGGTTAGATATCTCGCCGGCCACTGATCGCCCAGCTGTCCCTTTGGATCCACCCACTCCCTCCGAAGTCGAACGTGAGATCTCACTGTTGAAGTTAAAAAGCCGCCTGACCAGGTGATCTTCCTCCAGCCCTCTTCAAATTCGGGGGACTTGCTCTTGTTGAATGTTTTACATGAATTACTAGTGAAACTATGGGAGCAGGAGACTGTCCCAACTGACTGAAGCCGCTCCGTCATAGTTCCAATTTCCAAGGGAGGCTCACGATCGGAATGTGGCAGCCATAGAGGAATCAGTCTGATCTCCATCGCCTCCAAATTGCTTGCTTCTGTCATCCTTCACAGACTGCCTGGCACTTGTGAAAGCCATATTCGTGAAGAGCGAACTGGATTTCCTCGAGGTCGTGGCTACATTGACCGCATCTTCACTTTGGGTCAGTAGTTGGTGCACCGTCATATATATTGTCGACCCACCGTTGTCGTGTTCTTCGATATCAAAGGTGCATTCGATTCGGTAGATAGACGTGCACATTGGGACTGTCTACTCAGGAAAGGTGTACCTGAGAAATATGTGAATATTATCCGATCATTATATGCGTGTAGTTCGGGCAGAGTGATGGCTTACGGCAAGTTGTCGTCGCCCTTTAATATCTCTAGCGGTGTGAGACAAGGATGCCTGCTGTCACCTTTCCTCTTCAACTTCGGTATTGACGAAGTCACGGAAATCGCGTTCACAGGACCCTACTTAGAAATTGTGGAGCTGCTCCCAGGAGAACGACTTCTTGATTTGGAGTATGCTGACGATATTGCCCTAATCTGTGATAGCTCTGAGGTGCCAAGCGGCACTGGACAGGTTAGCACTGGCTGTCAGCTGCTTCGGGTTTTGCTTTGGATCATCGAAGTGCAAAGCCATCCTCCAAGATTGGTCTGGACCGCCTCCTTCGTTGACCGTTGGTGGGAATCAGCTAGCAGTCGTTCAAAAATTCAACTATCTGGGAAGTTGCATCAGCGCCCCTGGGATTGAAGATGAGATCACAAACCGTATAACAAAAGCTCGAGGCGCTTTTGGTAACCTTCGCCACTTATGTCGCCGGCGTGACATCCCTCTTGCCCTGAAGGGTAGAGTGTACAATGCAGCGGTACGTTCGACCCTACTGTACGGTTGTGATACTTGGCCCCTTAGATCAGCGGACATAAAGAGGCTAGTTGCGTTCGCCCACTGGTGTGTTCGCTATTTAGCTCACTTCTGGTGGGAACACCGAGTACACAACGAGCGTGTTCGACGCCTGGTTTACGGCACAGGAAAAGGAAATAAACCACTCAGCACCGTTATTTCACGCACGAGGCTCCGATGGCTGGGCCAGATGTTGCGCATGCCAGTCCACCGGCTTGCACGACGTGCGTTGTTTGCTCGCCGAGGGGGGGGGGTTGGAAGGAAGAAGAGGAGAGGTGGTCAAGTGATGACTTGATCGAGAGCAACGAAGTCCCTTACTTCGAAGCTGGCCTTACTTAGAGCGTCTCGGCTCTTTGGTTGGGGTCCGAAAGATGTTGAGCACGTTTGGCTGGATACACTTGTTGATATGGCTAGGCTCCGAACTCAGTGGCGTTCGCGCTGTGCGTTTCTCTGTCCCATTGTTATAATTGCGTCGCCACTGTTATAATTGAGGGAACGCCGCCTCTCTATATGGATTGCGTAATTGCCTGATAAGATTGTCGCTGGCACGGTTGGAGCACGCCTACGATGACGACTTGTAACGCTGGCCACTCGAACGGAGTTGCGCTAACCCGATGACGCTAGCTTAGCAGGTGAGACGGAAAATTGAGCGAGCGTGTGAACGATCCTAGCCGCACTTGTTCGGATAGACGCTGAGGCCACGGAAACGGACGCACACGAGAGGGGGTTATGATAGACGCGCGCTAATGACTTAGACGCGAAGGCTGGCCAGCTAACGACTCACACGCAATCACGTGACCCGACCGATTCCCAACTGAGGCGAAGGGAAAGAAAAGGCAAGTGGTCCTCTGTAGGCTCTTTTACGACCAACAAAGGGCAATCACAGCCAATGCACTGGTTATTAAGTTACGGAAAACAGTCACCACGAAGAGGTGGTAGTTTGAAAATGACCATTGTCAAAAGGTTCGCAGTTGGGACGCGCATCGGAGTGGCTGAGCGCTGCTGCGTTGTGGGGAGGAATTGAACATCGTTTTTCACAGCCATTCTGCCGGGGTTTCTGGCGCGCCTTTGCGGGAATATTTGACGAGCCCGCAACACCCACCTCATCCCTCTTATCCTCCCCCTCAACCACCATCTCAGTATTTAGCATTTTATAAGTTTGCACAGTAACTTATTTTTTCTGTTACATAGTAGCCCGCAGGTAGCTTTCCGGGACGGTGCCCATCCGTTGCCGGTAGCTCCAATAAGGTGAAACGCGTCTGGTGCTTTTCCGGACTAGGCTGTGCTATGTAGCCTGTGAACCTTATTTTGTCAGTGTATTCATCGGGGACTTGGGACTCTCCACATTGACCATTGGGAATCGTACGCTTTGTGGCCCTACAAGATGTCAGTGCGCTCTAGCTACTTAGTTACTTCTGATTGTTCATTGTTCTTCCATTCGATTTTGTGATGTTTTTGTTTTTCGTTTTGCTTCCTTATTTGACTGTTCTCATCTTCCTGTTTTATGTTGTTAACGACAAGGACAAAGGTAGTTGGCTATTCGGTAACCGGACTGTTATGGATTAACCGAACTGTATGAAATCTAACATTGCACTACTTAGTCTTGTGTAAAACACTGATGGGACGTCACACAATTGACAACATTATCACTGTGATCGGAATGGCAGGGGCTGACTTCAAAGTTAACTGTAGTCACAATTGGGATTGCGTGTCGCAATCCAAGACACACAGCGGGTACCCCAAAACCCATCCATCAATGTCATTATTTGTTTCCATTAGTAAACCCACGGAATATCACTTGGTTTGATTCCTATAAACCACTACTTACCCCCAATGTTTCCGAATTGCTTCTTTGACATCTTACTGGTCTATCTTCTTTTCGAAGCCTCTCCGCCACGTTAGTCGAACTCTCTATCCCATCCCGGAAGACGGACACTGAAGGAACCGTGTCCTTCACGAAGCTTTCTGTTCTCCCTGAACCCAACCCACTCAGTGGTATCGATGTCTCAGCTGTGGTTCGGGAAGAGCCAAAGATTTTGAACTCACACAACAACTCCGTCACTGACACCTTAAACCTGTCCGATATGATTCCGAACGAACAACACCTCTGGCCTTTGTACATTCGGTGCACGGAACCAGGTCAACGTAACCTTCGACTACAGCTCACCTACCAGACACGGCTCTCCAGTCCAGTCGTCCCCGATTTTTTGTTGTCTGTCGACCCAGAAAGTAACAAGTCTCGTCATTCCATCCGTGTGCTCTCGGTTGCCGATCATCTTGTTCAGAGAAACCGTGCTGAGAGCGTTTACGTTGAAAACCAGTGTGTCGAAACACTGCTGACGGACGTAAACGTGGTCGCTCCATTCAGTTTTGCCTGTCAGATCACGTCAATACAGGTACTACCATTAGTAATCATTTTCATCACTTTTCCTCTAGTGCATCAACCCACTTCTTGGTTCCTCAGATATTGTCGCATCAGTGTTTGCGTTTGATAACTACAGTCCTCTTATAGGCACACTTCTTCGGACCACCTGCTTTTACCGGATGTGGGCATATTCTCGCTGGTTCCAGATGACCACCGCCCATATTGCCCATATGCTATTTGTTATTCCACCTAGGACGTAGAGTTTTTCTTAGTGGTCTGAACTTTGTCCTAGTAGCTCACAGGATTTTTTTCGTAGCCTCGGCGAGCTGCTCTCCACTCGCTCTCTGAAACGTTTCATGAACGCCTCTGTCTCCTTTCAAGGGATCGTTAAAAGGGTATCATCAATCCAACTGACTTCGGTGTGGACGTTGGCCGCGGTTTAGTGTTTTGCTGTTACTTATCGGCTGTATTTGTTGGGCATTAAAGATGTGCTCAGCATCAACTTAAATGAGAATCCAACGACTCTGCACGTACGTATTGTTCGCTTAACTAAATTAGCCCTTCTAGTGATGTGGCGGCAGGCACTTTGGGTGCAGTGCAGTTGACGCTAATTCTGCGAGTTTTGGCTATTTCTTTCCGTTAACTATTTGAAGATGTGCACGGCATCAAATAAACCTATCGGACAGGATGACTTCCCGGGGGGTGGCTTTCATCTTTAGAAAGAGCTGCATAGTTCATTTGGGCCGAAAATGTTTGTGGTGTCTCCGAAGGCAATGTTGAGAGGCAACCGAAATTTCAGACACTTGTGAGATTTTCACTCACTAAAAATCACTCTGGGCTTCTGTAGAGGAACTACTTGATGCCGATGTCCACTTGAGCTGTCTTTCGTAGGACCCTGCTAAACGTATAAACCTATGTTGACGGCTACGAATTAGGTCGCCACTGGTTTCATCTGAAGCCTCTCTTGCGACCGGATATTAGTGCCAGAGAATCGAATCTGTACGGAACGAGAACTTTCCTAAACGGCTACTTGCTGCATTTCTAGTAGCACTACAGTTCACTAGTTGCCATTCACTCATAAGTACTGTTTGAGTTCAGTTTTACTGTCTTTCGGAGTTAATCGTACTCAACATCATCGATCTTTCAACGGGCCTTAAGAAGTTGGGGAAGTTCTACGGTAATCTTATAGTTAACAGCATTTCCAGTAAAACCACGGGCCGCAGTGACCGACTTGTACAGGATGCTGTGTCTGTGCGCCCTGTGCACTCTGTCTGAAAGTGGAATTCTCATAGGCTGAAGCCAATGCTTCTTGAAAGGAGCTGGGAACGTTTGGGGCAGAACGCTCGACGTCGTCAAGTCGTTTTCAGTTATACTGTTTTTCCTGGCATCCTACGAAAGACCTTAGCTTTGAGAAGTATTTGCAAGCGAAGATCCAACTTTGCGATTAACGCGAACGTTGAGACTTGATGTTTCTGGTGAATAAGTGGATACCTACATGAAAGGTGTGTGTGTGTGTGTGTGCATTACCTAACAAGTAGATATACTGGTGCGTCTCCAAAGCCAAATTTCGGAAATTATGGCCAGCGGCACAAGTTGCGCCCCATACACGGGACTCAAGAAATCTACCGTTAAAGCACACATTTGCGCTTATTGGTGTTATTAAGGAAGACTAGTACGACGAATTACTGGTCACGCTTTAAAAGCCTGTTAAATGTGTCTCCACACCAGAGCCTTGAGAACAACGTTTTCTTATCGGCTTTTCAGCTGGTAGATCCCATCAACAATACCACCCACACATAAGCGCGTCATCAAGGTTATGATGAGTTCTCTATATTGATTCGTGTTATTTTATGCAGCCAGTTGTGGAGTGCGGTGTAATCAAACTGCGTTGCTTGCTCGCCAAACGGTAGAAACCGGCTTTGGCTTCACCGAAAGTTTGTACTTGGGTTAGCAAATCACTGGTCGTCACATAGCTTAAGAGCGCGACCACCGTTATCGGTTCTGCGAACACCGTACTATGTTGGTCGTAGGGCTCAGCTTCAACAACAACCTGAAGTTCGAACGTGTGCGCGTTTGAATCTTCGTTAAGCACCAAGATTCTCGTTCGGTACATTTTTAAAATAAGGTGTGGCTTATTTTATCTGAATCTGGACTGTGTCTCATTAAAACACACGCGACTGCCGCTTTTGGCGCTTGCCAACCAGCGAACTCGCACATCCACTAGTTATTTTGAGTTACCATGGTGTTCGTTTTTCTAGCGGCCTATTGGAACTGCTTGCTTTTTCACAATATGTTGAACGATGCACACAGCGCGTGGTAGTTTATTCACAAGACGGCAACCCCAATCCGATGCATCGATTTGGAAACTTCGCGTTGTCTGCTCCACCCAATTTCCACTGATCTGCTTCAGCGGTGCTACATCATCGACACCTGGGCCGCGCAGTAGCTGGAATCCGACGATCAATCCTTCGAAGTAGTTTAAGGGCCCTGTTTTAAGTTAGTAATCCTTTACGAATCTAGCGCATATGCAAAATTCCACTATTTTTCAGCTATTCGATATAAGCCGTTATTCCCCACTGTCTCTCCTTTATCTACATACTAGGTGCCAGCGATCGATGTTTACCCAGGTTTGTTCATATAGGCTGACGGCCTGATAAAGATAGTGATTTTGTTTACTGGTTCTTCCTGTTCTCTTTCAACCATTGTTGAATCAATGCTCATACCCAGATGTTTTGGATTTTGCAGTTTGTGCCATGACCTACATCGCATTCAAGTAGTGGCATTAATCCACCGACGATTTGTTCCTTTTACTGTTTCCTAAAGATCTCCTCAGTAGCTTCACTTGTGATTCATCCTTTCTACTTTCCGTACGAACCAAACTGAATTGACTCCATTCTACTTGATACATTGCTTAGCATTTGTTGGATGAATAGGACTTCGGGGCCCCCACTTATAAGCTCCCTGCAGCCGCAACTCCATTACTACCAGCTGTTGCCTGCTTGTATGTGTAAGCTATTAGCCCCTCTACCCTGTGCTCGCACAGTGAATGACGACTCTTTTGCCTCCGTTATTCCGCCTCACGACACTTGTTCCCATCTTATATCTGCAATGACATGTGTCTGCTTGCAATCGAAGCTAGCTTCCTGCCTTATCGGGTCTTTTGCCTTTCCCTTTAATACTGCCCATCTTTGTATGCGGTATCACTCACCGCTTACAATTGCGTCTCTTTTCAGCAGGTCCCAATAGCTGATCTAGTTGTGGGCGAGCGCTTCTTGCTACAGCTTCAACTTGAAAACACCTCTACCATGGATTTGGAACTGCTATCCACTTCATTTCAACTGGTTAGTTCAATTGGATTAACCTTTTCTCTTTTTACTGTGGAAACACTCCATGTATTATCACTTACTGGAGACCGTCTCCGTTATTGCCATAGACATCGACACCATTACTGTGTAATACTTCTCATCAACATGAACGCAGGAATATAACCCCCACACCTTTTACTTTCATTCTACGTCTTTTAACCGCGTCTCACCATTTGCTCCATTGCTCTATTGTTATCCACTGACTACATGTTGTGTCCGTCCTAGTCATCTGCCGTTACCTTCGTGGATTGTTCCCCGGACGTCCAAATCAAGGACTGTGAGTTCCCATGTTAGCGCTTGTTTTCTTCCATTTGTTTTTTTGCCTGATGCGTTTCATCCCACTGAGATGTTCCATAACCTTTTGTGCATCACGGTGGAAATACTGTTGCTATGGCATCTTTGTATCGCGTTTGTGTTTGATACCTCTTACTTCCAACGTGTCCAGTATGATGCCAGATCCCGCCGTGTTTCAATGATCTTGTAAGGACAGAACAATCAAGTTGTGTCGCACGTATTGTATATGAATATTGCTAGTTCGGGCTATAAACCTAGACTAGACGCACGGTCTTGGCAGAAACCAGTCGCGACAGAAGAATTTATATTATAATCCTGTAACCGTGGTTCTAAACGGTAGAATAATATACAAGATAGGACTCAAGACTAGGTTTGCAACGGCAGTGGAAGCAGATAACGGTATCAGTGCTGGTAAAAGCAGACTGGTGACTTTGCGAAACTGCAGGCAATGGAAGTTAATATAGAACGATACCCGTTTGAGCATTTAATGGTCTGAAGCACTAAAGACATGGGATTAGCTCGGAAAGTGTAAAGAGGTGGGAATAGGATCACTGAGTCATCAGGAGGGAATAATCGATCTGGTAAAGATAATCAAAGTTATTTGAAAATTTACAGGTTCCATGTAATTTATATCTACCTGCAGCTTAAAAACACATCTCATTGTTTCCGCTACCGTGATTCACCAGCTGAGTATTCCCGGTTATATCACCTCATAAATTATGACATCTGATTTCCTTCTGATGAACGATCTCCTACATCCGTAACTATCGATTCCTCCCACATGGCGCTTCACTGTCCTGAATCATTGTGCCCCAGTCATGTCTTTTGCCCATCCTATGGTCAGTTCACACAGCAAGGTATCAAAGCTGCAGTGCATTAGTTAAATCAGTAAATAAAAACAAATTCGTTAATTAAACCCATGGAAATGCAAGAACAAAATTTTGCGAAGAGTACTCTTTGACAAATCGCTTCAAGCATTTACAGTTATAAAATGGAAGAGCAGAGCGCAAATAGCTGATGAAGCCAAAGAGGTTGGAATAGTGGAATCATGACAAACGGAAACTCAAAAGTCCTGATCAAAAAAGTCGACTAACAACACGTGTGACAGAGCACATTTTGGTTGATCGGTGGAATGCCAAGCTCATCATTCGATCACTGTAGACGCAGGAAGTGACGAGTTGCTAACTTGGGCCAAGTAGAAGAAGCCCTTGAAGCAAAGCCTTCTGTTTGCATACTTCCGGTTGAATCATCCTAATCGCGATTGCTTCTGCCGTCCGTAAGATTTGCTTCCTACGACTAGTGTACCGTGTATCAGCGGCTCTAATTCGGTGTCCGCTTTCCACCGAAAAGCGGTATACAGCTCATCATGGAGAGCGAATGGCTACTTCTCCGTTTTAAGCGGGTTGTTTTGCACTTTCTCGATTCGTTATGCTTGGAGCAGTGGTGTCGCACACCCGCCTCAGCACGTAAAGGCGGTTGAATTTTGGGTACTCCAAAGCCGCTCTGTTAGTAGATCTGGGAGCGTTCCTACAGCTAGTTGCGAAGCAAACTAATCTCGTTCACATTATTGTCGAATAATGTGTGACTTCGTTCGTTGTGCAAGTTTGAACAAGGGGTAGAGTATACGCTCCTTCGTTTGTGTTACTCTTATTCGCCGGACCAAAATCTTCCGAGCGGTACGTCGGCATTAGTTGTGCCCAACTCAGTAGATGTTAACCGCACTGACGTACTGAGGCTTCAACTGTATGACTGCTTTTCGATTTCCACTTAGTCAGTTACCTCTACCAAGGGTATGTTGGATTGTTTCCGCACACTTCACGTGACAAAATCGCTAATGTCCGCGCTCCTTTCTCCGGTTCATATTTGTAGTACTTTTTGTTCATCTTTCCCTTAGCTGCAAGTTCCTATCCATGGGATGTTTGTAGAAGTCGGACACAGACATCACGTTTCCTGAGCAAACAACCCGCTACAACATTTCCTTCTGCTTTTTTCAGTACTTATGTGCCTTGAATTATTTAGCTTTTCTCTTGTTTGTCATTGTGACATGTTCTGCCTCCACCTTTTTCACAGTGACCCTGGAGGCTGGAAATCTAGTTGGCGAGTGTCAAATGTTGGAAGCAAATCAAGCCACTGATAGCGACAACACTGTTGGTCTGGGATCTTACTTGGCTCACTGGTGCCGGTACGCAATTCTGTTTGACTTGAGGTTCTGGTTTAATAATACACATCAAATAAACTAGTCTCTTTAATCATACGCGTTGCATCCTCTTCGTTAGCGCAGACGACTTAGTCCGATCGCCACCAAACATCGATGGGACACAGTTCCGTCTGGAGCATAACGAATAGGGATAGTCCTTGTATAGCGGCAGTGGCGGGGCATTACTAGGTTACTGGCATTTCTCTCATGAACCGGTACCGAACACGCAGAAAGTGCAGTTATCAACCTCGTGGTTGGGTTCTTCAACAGCACGCATTTCTCCAAGTCACGTGGAGTCCTCACCCAAGACACCACCATTTCGAGGCAGTTACTTCACTAAACTATGGTCGACGGCGTTGTTCAACTTTACGGGGTGATTGGCTACGAACTAGTACGGTTCACTTCACTTCGCATCTGAATCACGCATTCAAATTCACATGTCTGGTGCCTGATGCACTTTCTTCCATCTTGATTCGTATATGCCCCTACGTTTGACATGGTGTCCACTTTGCTCGGCACCGTCACCATCAAATTTGATTGGAGTCTCCATACTTAAGTGGTTAATTACTGTTTTCTCTATTATTGGCTAAATATTATTAGTCAAGTGAGTAACTTCTTTTTTTTCACCCGCCGATGCCATCGGTTTGTTGTTAACTTGATGTCCAACAAGGCTCTTTCCTTTTCCCTGCCCAACCGAGCGTGGACGAATGTGCCTTATCCCCTAGTTTCCCATTTTCATTTCGATGCCGTAGTTTTTAAAGTACTAGGCAGCACAAATATGTGCTTCACGTTTTTCAGCCACACTTTGATATCCCGTTTTTCAACTTCACCGTATGCCATCATGTATGCCGATGCAAGCAACCTGGTCTCATTGGCCTTGGAGGTATTTTCTTTGTTCATCTGGCGAACTATACGTCTGTTTTCCGATCCTGGACAACTGTATGAACTTTAGTTTTAAAAACCGCTTGACCACATGCATCGCTTCTTGCTTCTCAGTTGGCGGCGCGTAAGCGCCATCTGACCTACGGAAGTCCACCGTCTACAAAAACAGCTGAAGAACATTTTGGAAAATTATCCTGTCATCAGTTTGATCAAAGCAAACCGCCTTGTGTTCTGATACAAAGGGCTTTGATCACATTTTTGCTCTTCAACGGTGCTCGAACGGTGCCATGATTGTAGTCCCCTAACCTGAAGGCTGACCTAGGTTTTCTCTCTATCACTCTTGTTTGTGTCGGCATTTGTCTGTGAAAAGTGTACTTGCGATATTCCTCTTTATCCTAATATTGCTGTTCTACGATTACAGTGGCGCCGTCAGCATCTTCTGGAAGCTCCCCTGAGCTCGTCGCAGCAAGCGAAGTGTGTTGGTCCTGCTCTATCCCTCTTCGTTTTTATAATCGAAATGTTCATGAGTAACTCTCTCCTTCCTCATTCCACTTTTTCTACGCTCGGTTTTCTGTCGGACGACCGTCCGTCAAATCAGTGGCATGAACTTGCTCTCTCTTGCTCAGCTAGAGCTGCTATACAGGCAATACTGGTTTGGCTCTGATGCTTAGCGCTGCACGCTTCGTTATGTACTTTATACCTTCGTAGTGCAAAGCACTGTTATAGTTGTGAAGGCTCACCACCAACTCTTACTGTCACCGGACAGCCACTCGATTTGGTTGATTGGTTTATCTACCTGAGCGGTGGTCATATCACCGAAAGTGGTTGGTGCATTTATTTCTGAAGTTCGTAAACATTTTCAAAGTCTCAGTCAGTTACTGATACGGTTGAATGTAAGTATATCGGTCAATAAATGGATTTGCCACGCTGTGGTGCGGTTGGTGTTATTATAGACATCAGAGATCCGGCTTTCTTGCGTGCATTGAAGACATCATGAGAGACTGCCCGTGTTTGACTGCCGCTAACTGTGACTCGTTAGTCCTGTCGTGTAGTAGGGCTGCGCGAGCGCTGCTGATGTTCGTCATTTGATGCTTGGCGGCAGGTCTTCCGATGCTTCATTAGAATGCCTATTGCACCAGAGTCATCTTCACGGACAAAGTTATGCGCTGCGCTTCCTCCTAAGACTATTGGTTCCACATGTATTGTTTACTGGCATTACGCCTAGATGGGCGACACTCTGCGTGGTGGGTCAAGCAATTGACAAAAGCATGAATGAATACATCGGGAAGCCCTTTTCGGGTTGGTGCTTGTCTTCCTGGATAGGGTCCCCGGTACTGGCCACATCAATGGTTATCCACCTTATCCAGATATGATGCACTCACGGCCTTATTCAGAATTGAACATTTTGATTGTTTTCAGGACTAGTTTTGGTTTATATACATTGTCTCTTGGTGGAATTTTGGGTTACTCCTCTCCATTTGTACATTCACTTTTGTCAGTGGCAAATCTGTTGTCCTATTTAGACACCTGGCTACCTATCTATCCAAGTTGAATGTTTCAACTGTATTTCTTTGCTTCAACGTCAGTCACTCTATTTAACCTCTAACATGGCAACCCCAGACTATTATTTTTAGCATCATCGATAGAAGAGCCGTTTGTTTGTTCCAACTATAGGAGAATAGTCACAGTTTGTTGCTTTAATTTGCTTGACCTCGTCGAATTCAGTGTTGGGCTTTTGCAATTTCCACCTTACGCTTGCTCCACCTTTGCCAACTCATGATAACGACAGCCGTTCGCTTTCTTTTCGCAGACGCGGTTCCCACTCTACGGACTCTGTAGTCACCACACGCTTCCAGCTGCCATCGGTTACCGTGCTTAAATTACCAGTCGTGGTACGCGCTGAAGTCCCGTCCACGGGCACTCTGCTCACTCCGCTGCCTGTATATTACTCATTGGACAATCAAACCATCTGTCCTCGAGTGAGCTCTTTCATCTTGCACATAATGTGATGGTCCATCGTGTCGTTTAGCTGCCTTTCCATTTTTCGGAAACAATACAGTGGAGCTTTCGGTTTCATCCGCACGTTTCTTGTTTCTATTGTCTGATTACTTTTCACTGCTGTTGCTCCCGTACTTCGCAAGCACCTGTAACTTGCTTTTGATTAGCTCCCGTATTCTTCATTGACTTAGCTTCAATGGGGCCTACCAATCTCCCAATGCGCTGTGTAAGGTAGATACGAATGTCAGTCCATATACTCGAGAGCAATTTCAGCGAGAAAATTTAGGACATTGACCGGTCATGCATTTTTTCTCAAACGTTAGCCTAACCCTGCGTCAGTCTTCACGCCCTATCCGATACACACTATAAAATAAATAATTAGACGGGTGCCACTTCTGGGAATGCGTCCCCTTGTTTCCATCTGTTTCTCTTGTACTCACGCTCCCCGTCCATAGCCCCCTTCCGTAGTCCCCATTGTGTGCGCCGACAACTGCTTTACTGCAGTTCTGTCACATACACACCCAAATCGTCCCAGTTCTCCTTCTATCGATAGTCACTTATCAGGCCACAGTGGCCGGTCTGCTTCGCAGCTAATCCTGCCATGCCACGGTTTGTTGTGGCCCCTGTGTGGTGTTGGAGCCCCGCGATTGCTTCCACCCACTAACGGTAGTAAGAACACGAACACTCGGGGACACGGTTTCAAGAGGTCTTTCACATAGGGAAACCATTTCGTTACATAGCATGACGCACAAGCGTGAAAGCCAACCAGAGTACGGAACGCATGCAGACAACTAAAATAAAAACAACTGAGAGATCAGTCAGGTTCACACAAAGAACGGATAGTGAGAGTGTTTGCGTCAGAGCGGGTTTGCGATCTGTGCACAAAAAATAACGACTCTAAATAGCCAATAAAGATAGCGGCATGATACGTTGCAACAAACGTCCGTGAACCACCAGAGTAAATCTAAACTCTACAGCCATGAACGGTTACGGAAGCATACCTGCTTTTTCATTGCTCCTCTAACACTCGGCACATGGAAGTCGAAGAGCTATCATTTTAGACTTATCTTTTGAACTCAATCTTCAGCTAGCTATCAGATTACTCGGCGACGGACTTGTTGCTACGAAGCCCAGTTGATTTCACACAGTTCATTTCGGTTTTTCAAGCCTATTCTTGACAGTACTATCCCACCCTTCTAATTCTACTTAACTTGTGGATTTTTCCGACTTTTCCAAACACGCTTCCATGAACCTATTTAATCTGTGCACCCACACATTATTTCTGTTGCTTATCAGTATAGTATCTGACCAGTGGATAAACGCGCGATATTTTATCCCCATCGAATATTTTGTACTTAACTGAACCTGCCTGTTTAGGCGTGTCCCGTGTATTTTCGGAAACAAACTATTTATTATTACTTATTATTGATATTACTTATTATTATTACTATTGTCATACTCAACTGGGCGTGCAGTCCTCTCATCATTTTTCCGAGTTCACTGGCTAACCATTTTATCTCACTTAACCAACTGTTCACGTCAATTCCTGCGAAAACGTACATCATATACCCTGTCAGAAGCTAATCACTCTCTTCATATCACATTATCATGTTGTGCATCTGATTCCTTGACTTGAAGAAATTACCCAACGATATATGCTCACGCACTGACCTCAGTCATCCTTTATCTGATGCGTTTATATCGAGGCATAACCCTGTCGTCAATGACTTAGTTGGTAAATTTTGTGAATCTTATCCCTGTGTATTTTTCTTTAAGTTATTTTTCCATCGGTATCCATATGCATTGGACTTCGTTTATTGTCTCATTGGAGTGGATTATTCACCCACCCCTGGGGCATTAAAAGTAGAGGGTTCATCACTCGTTTGGATTATTATCCGCTTCGATAACCAACTTAGAACGTCCAGTTTTCTGCCGATGACTCGCCAAATAACCTCCTCGTGCCACTTAGGTGGTTCGGGTTTTTTTTCGCTCCAGCAAATGGTTCGGTGGTAATGTTATAGGATGTGGTGGGTCTTCGCGTGGCAAGTGTTCCCCTATGTAAAGCCACAGATGTCTGCTTAGCACTGCGATGTGGCGGATGTGATTCGCCACTAAATAAAATCACTGCCCATCGCTTCACTCCGATGGCATTGTATTTCAGCAGCCTCTTGCAGATGTCTTGGGGGATGATTGGGCCCCTGTTTACTAACCGACTGAACAAGAACCTATGAACTGAGCAATCAGTCATCGTGTTCCTGTGAGCGCGATTCCCTGAATTCTCCTCGCTGCTTTGCGCGTAGGCTGTTTCACAAGGGGATAGAGTTGGTTCCCATAAGTGAGCTCCCTACTTCTTCTTGGCAAACGGGTAGTATCACGTCTTCCGACAAAAAACCATAGCCGTTCTACACTGTTGCCGTTTCTATTTTTTGCATTCACGCGACTTTATCACACACCAACTCTTAATTTACAAAAACAAGTAGTAAGTGGATTTTAATGGTATAAGTAGCAATTCACCACATATAGGCTCAGTCAGACAGTCACCACACCATCTTTTCATCCTTTTGGTGAATCGTCAGCAGTGCGCATTCCATTTGACTCCTGTGGGGCTTGAACGCGCAACTCAAATGTTGCTATTCTGTGGCTGAGACCGCTGAACCACTGGGAACGGCGACGATAACCATGACAAATTTACTATCCAATTCTCTGCACCGTGCAGGTCAGTGGTTACTGTGCGGCACTGTATCACATCTAGTAACTTAGCCACAACGGTCGTTGCTGTCCTGCCCCGTGGCTCAGTGGTCTCAATCACAAACTGGCAACAGCCAAGTTGCGGGTTCGAGTCCTACATTGGTCAGACGGAATGCGCACTGCTGACGATTCCCGAAATAGTGAAACGGCATTACAGTGTTTTTCCTGGCGTGTGGTGGCTGTCTGACTGAATCTAGATGTGATGAAACTCTTAACAGCCCCTTTTATCCGTCACCTGATTCCTGTGTTCTTGGATATAATTCCAATGCAAATTTCACTGAAAACCATGAAGTTCAACGATTGGCCTTCCTTCGACCACGATACTCATTCAGTCTAGCGTGCTTCGACTTAAGGACACTCATGTAGATTAGGCACCAGGACAGTTTATCGCGTACCCCAGTGTCTCTCGATATTTATATCTGCTGCCCTTCCGAGACCCGACAGCAGTACGCCAGCAGTGTGCTTACTCTGACATCCCCCATTAACCACGAAGCTACATATCACTTGTGTCTTTCTGGTGACCCAAAAGCAGCCTCAGCGGATTTTCAGCTCAAGTAAAGCCTGCGCAGGGATCACGAGGCTTGGTGGTCTAAGCGTACTTCTGGAGATGGAGACCACTGTCCTCTCCAACAATGCTCGCAAGATTTTTCACCCACGGTCCACTGGACTCATACAGTCTACTGTCAGTGAGGTTATCTGCAAGGCCGATTGGTCTCCGATTACCAACTACCAGAAGCGCTTGGACCGCTGAGTCGAGCACCTTCATTCGCAGTTCAACTTGTCTCCACCATCAATCCGTGCAGTTCATCCGCTTGTCTACCCTTATTCGTTCCACTGAATCGATTCAGCGAAGCAAATGTTTGCCCCGAGATTCGACACTTGAAGCGATTCAAGGCTATCGGCTCAGGCTAGTTTCTTCCGGAGCTGTTCTGGTACGGCGACATGACAACTATTCACCACGCAACTTCGTTGCGCTCCAAAACCTGGCATGAAAAAGTGCCCTTTTCTTGGAGCGAATCAGTTAGTCCCGATTGCGCTTTATGTTTCAGCCATCAAAGAATTAGTCTCATTTCCGCTGCTCCCAAGCTATTGGCATTCATTCGTAGACTATACTTGATACGTGGATTGTACTAAACTGAAGAACCAACGGGTTCGCGTCCCGACCCTGGGTGCATGGATCGAATCTCCATGCTTCGCCAACTCATCGAACACCGCCACATTTACCACAAACCCAATATCGTCGCATTTCCAAACAATTGGGCTTCCTTTTGACCCTTTCGATCGATCTGTTTTATGGCGTTGCTCGCTAAATAACTGGGGTGCCATACCGCCATTCTGAGCACACCCTACCTTCACGTCTCTGACAAAGTGAGGGTCCACCGCAAACTTTCCTCGCCATTCCCTGTCAGTAGCGTGCGGTAGACCTGCCCTTTGTCTCCGTTACTTTTCAACATCAAAATGAAGACGCCTTGTCGAGAGCTTCAGAAGATTTCCAATATTTTGTCTTGGAGCTTCTACCGGCCAAACGCTCGACGACTTAGAGTCTGCTGATGATATCGCCTTACTTGGTGTTGATCCGCAGAGTATACAATTCATTCTGTATCGTTTGGCGGTTGAAGCGTGTACGATCTTCGCTTCCTCGAAGTGAAAATTGTTGCAACAGCTTTGGGTCGCACATGCTCACCCTTGAAGGCGTACAACTTAATCAGGCTTAATATCTTGGAACATATTTGGAACCAGTCGGGAAGTCATCATTTCAGAACACTTGGTAGACGACCGGTTACTATATTTATGGTGTATCACCATAAATATGTTAACTGGTCGTCTACCATGTGTTCTGAAATGAGAAATTAATCATACGTATGGTTTCCTTTGTATTGGGAACTATCTTACTGCTAGCAACACTATCAGCAAGGAACTTTCTTTCTGCATCGATAAACCTGGGTCAGCATTTGTTAATCTGAGGCACTTGTGGCGTCATCAGTTTCACAGAACTCAATCCTCCAGGGACAAATGGTTTATTCGACAAAGCAATCTCAGCGAAAATGACATCGTAACTCGTCTGTAGAAGCCTCGGTGTAAATAATTAGGCCGCTTCTGCATTCATGAGATTTTCCATTTGCTTCAGTTAAACCAACTCACTCTGGTGCCGCCAAATATTTACCAATCAGCGTAAAGGCGGCGATGCTTAGGCGTCTAATCATTTGCTTCGTACGTTTGCGGCAATCTAACC